GACGGGACGGGACGGGACCGGACGGGACGGCATGGCCCCGTGGCTGTGGCCGTGGCTCGTGGCCGCCCAGGCCCTGGCCGCCAACTTCCCCCCGCGCTACAGCCTCTACACCGGCGGGGCCGCCCCGCACGGCCCCGCGCGGGCCGCCAGCAGGCACAGGTAGGACCCGTCCCGCGCAGCGCCGCTCCGACGGCTGCGGGGCGGTGCGGGGCTCGGCGCGGTCCTCCCGCAGCGGAGGAGCACGTGGAGGGCGCGGGGCGGGGGCTGCTGGCTGAGGGGAGCGGTGTGCGGGAGCGCGGCGGGGTTGGCCCACCGCCGGATGCGGGACGCCGGGAGGTTCCATCCTCGCGCCGCACCGCAGGATCCCTGTGCGGGCGGTGGGGCTGCTGCGGGGTCCGGTGGTGCGGAGCTGCGGTCCTCCGCTCACCGCAGCCACATCAGCACCGCAGCAGCGGAGCCGTGCGGGAGTGGGTGGGGGGACTGCAGCGCGGTCCGGCGCCGGCCCCTCGGATGAGCGGGGCACGCGGGACCCCGTTCCGCGTGGGATATCGCCGCAGGGCCGAGCCGGGGAAGGGGAACGCGGGCTCTGCCTCCCCGGCCCCGCACCGCTCCGAGGGGCATTCACCTGCGGCCGTGAGGCCGCGGCCAGGGGTCCCGGGGGTACACCGCGACCCGTGCCCGCGGTTGCGTGACGCGAAGCACCATCCTCGCGGTGCGGGTACTGCGCCCGTCCCCACCGCTCCGGGGTGCGGGCACAGCCCTGCGGGCGGCGTCGGCCCGGGATGGGGGGGAGGTGCGGGGGAAGCGGGGGGGGCCCTCGGCGCAGGAATTCCCGGCGGCCCCCGGGGAGGAGCTGGAATCCGGCCGCGGGCTGAGGGGAACCAGCCGGACTGCCGGGAACGGCCGCGGGGCTGTGGGGCGGCCCGGGGGGGGTGGGGGGGCCGCTCAGGGCTCGGACCATATATGGCTGTGCGCAGCGCGGGGCCGGGCCGGGGTCTTGCGGCGGGGGACGGGCGGGGGGCCCTGCCCGGAGCCTGGGCGGGGAGGGGGTGGGGGGCCGAGCCCCTCCTCACCGCTCGAGTGGGATGGGGCGGGGGCGCGGGTCTCATCCCGGCTGTGTGCCGTCGGGGGCGGATGGGGCGGGGGCTGTGCCCCTCGCTTACGGGCTCCGGGGTGAGATGAGCCCCTGAGAGTCGGTCGCGGGGCGGCAGAACCCCGATGCGGGATGGCACCGGCGGATGCCCGCACCGCGCGGCTGTGTGTTCCGTCAGCGGGGTCCCCGCAGCGCCGCGGCTTCACCTGGGGGCACCTCGGGGTCGGGCTTCTCTGCCTCCCCATCCCAATCCCCGCGCGAGGCCGCGAGCGCGGCTGCGGTGCGCTCCCGGGTCTGCGGAGCGGGCACCGGCGGGAGAGGGCGTCGGCGGGACGGGATGCGGCCCATTAACCCGCAGCACCGGGCCGTGACGGTGCTACCAGGGAGGGGGGAGGGTAAGGGGAGGCGGCGGGAGGGGTACAGAGCCCGAGGGTGCCGTTACGCTGCCGACCGCCTCCCCGCAGGAACTGGTGTGCCTTTGTGGTGACGCGCACGGTGAGCTGCGTGGTGGAGGACGGCGTGGAGAGCTTCGTTAAGGCCGACTTCCAGCCGTGCGCCTGGGGGCAGCTGCAGTGTCCCCGAGTCCTGGCGTGAGTGCCGCGGGCCTGGGAGGGAAGGAGGGGGGCTCGGGGCCGGCCGCCGTGTTTATCCGCTCTGGGAGCGCTGTTTACTTTTTCGCAAGAATGCGGTCGCAGCGGCGCCTGACCTGCCCCGACCCGGCTCTTCCCGGACCGCACCGATGCGGGGGCTCGGGGAGCACCGCCCGTGCTAATGGGGCAGCCGTGGAATGTGAGGGGGGGTTTCCAGACCGCACAGGGGGAGGCGATGGGTGGCGGCAACGCGTCCGGCTGCGCGACAGCCCCGTAGCCACGCGTAGCATCTCGTTCCTCCCAGCCCGGAGCCGCAGACCGGCGCTGGGGTGGGATGGTACGAGCGGCCGCAGGACCCCGCACCGCTCTGCCCGCAGGTACCGCAGCTTCCTGCGGCCCCGTTACAAAGTGGCCCAGAAGACGGTGTCGGACCTGGAGTGGCGGTGCTGCCAGGGCTACTCGGGGGAGGACTGCTCCGAGGGGCCGCAGCCGGGCTCCCCTCAACCCACCGCTCACCCCCGGCCCCGGCCCGGCCGCCCCACGCTCTCCGGTTTCGGCAGCGCGCTGAGCGGGCTGGGGGGCGAGGGCGGCGGGGGAGGGGGGGGGCGTGGGGGTGCGGCGGCCCCGCGGAGCCCGGACGAGACAGAGAAGGTGCGGCGGCTGGAGGACGCGGTGCAGCGGCTGAGCCGGCAGCTGGAGGAGCAGCAGAAGCAGCTGCGGGACGCTCGCCGCGGGGCCGACGGCGGGACCCCCCCGGCCGACGCCGCTCCCCCCGACGTTAGGGAAGCTCTCGTCCACATCCAGCAGCGGCTGCAGCGCCTGGAGGCGACGCGGGACGGCGCCGGCGGAGAGGGGGTCCCGGGGGGGGTCACGTCGCCGGAGGAGGAGGAGCGGCTGCGGGAGATGTGCGCGGCGTGCGCGGCCGGCACCGAGGGGCTGCGGAGGCAGCAGGCGGAGGACCGCGAGCGCATGCGGGCGCTGGAGAAGTTGGTGGGCTCAGTGGACCAGCGCAACCGCGACGCTGTGGAGACGGTGCAGCAGCACGTCAGCGCCCTGAGCGCCCGCCTGGCTCCACCCGCGCCCCTCGACGAGCTGCTCCGGCGCACGGCCGAGCTGGAGCGCCGCGTGGGAGCGCTGGAGACGGCACGAGGAGCGGGGCAGGGACCGGGCCCGGCGCTGGCGCGGCGGCTGACGGAGCTGGAGGGGCGGCTGAACGCGTCCCGCGCCGCCGGGCCGCCCGACGGGGATCCGTCGCTCCGGGGCCGCGTCGCCAACCTGAGCCGCGCTCTGGAAGGCCTGGAGGGGCGGCTGCGGGAGCACGAAGCGCGGCTGCGGGAGCCCGCCGACCTCGGCGACGAGGAGGAGCCGCTGGAAGGCTTCAGCGTGTTCGGAGGCGGCGCCGCGCCTTGGGAGCTGCGGGAGCTGCGGGCGGAGTTGGCGGACGCGCTGCTGGCTTTCGGGGCGCTGAACGGCACCGTGCGGGGCCTGCAGGACACCGCCGAGGAGCACGACGCGAGGCTGCGGGACCTGAGCGCCGCCCGGCAGAGCCTCACCGCCGAGCTGGACCGCCTCGTGGCAGAAGCGGCCGAACGCGCGACGCGGAGCGAGGAACGCGGGGAGAGCGCGGTGGAGTGCGGGGAGGCGCTGGAACCGCGCGTGGCCAAACTGGAGGGAGTCTGCGAGCAGTTGGAGGCGGTGGCCGGGGGGCTGCGGGCCGTGCGGGAGGGGCTGAGCCGGCACGTGGCGGGGCTGTGGGGGGCGGTGAGGGAGCTGAACGGCACCGGCCGCACCCACGAGGCGCTGCTGGAGAAGCTGCAGGCGCAGCTCTCGCGTCGGTTCGCGGCTCTCGACGGCAGCGTGCAGCAGCTGCGCAGCGAGGTGTTCGGCGGAGGGAGGCAACAGACGGCCGGTGGGTGCGGGGGTTGCGGGGGGAGGGGCTGCGGGAAGGGTGGGAGAGAGGGCGTGGATGAGGGAGGGAGGAAAAGGGATGCGGGGATGGGGGAATGGGGATGTAAGGAGGGAAGAGGTGGGCCCCGGGATGGGGAAAAGGAGGTGAAGGAGGCGGGTTTAGAGAAAGTGGGGCCGTGTCGCGAGTGGGGGGTGTATGATTTTGAGGACGGAATGTGGAAACGGTTGCAGAGCTCGTGGCCGTGGGGCTGAGGGATGGGGATGTGGCTATGGGGCATCGGGAGTAGAGGCATGTGAGAGCATGGGGATGAGTAGCTGAGGCCTGTGAGTGTGGGGTGTGTGGGACACGAGCAGTGGGGACAAAGGGTGTGGTGTGTGGGGATACTTAATGGGAATGAAGGTCCCTAACACTCTCCATTTTCCCCAGGTCCCCCGGGGCCCCCCGGCCCCATGGGCCCCCCAGGGGAGATGGGCCCTTCTGGCCCCTCCGGGCCCCCTGGCAAGGATGGAGAGCAGGGCCCCGTGGGCGCCCCAGGTAGGTAGCAGCCCCCATGGCCTCGCAGCCCGGTGCTGGTGTGGCTGTGCCCACAGTGCCATTCTATCCCTTCTCTTACAGGTCTGCCAGGAGAGAGAGGTAGGGGGGCACAGGGTGGGAGGGGATGGGGATGGAAAGCACTGAGGGCCCCGTGCTGACACAGTGCCCAGGCCCGGTGGGGGAGCCGGGCTCTGTGCCCCACATCGCCTTCTCGGCCGCCCTGAGCACGCAGCGCACGGAGCCGGGCACCGTGCCCTTCGACAGGGTGCTGCTCAACGACGGCGGAGCCTACGACCCCGAGACGGGTGAGTGAGGAGGGGGGAGGATGGGCTTGCGAGGGGGAGGTTAGGAGTGTATTAAGGCCACGGGGCTGATCTCGTCCCTGTGGCACCGTGGGGACTGCCATTCACTGCCATCGCCCCCCAGGGACCTTCACGGCGCCGGTGAGCGGGCGCTATCTGGTGAGCGCGGTGCTGACGGGGCACAAGGGTGAGAAGCTGGAGGCGGTGCTGTCGCGTTCCAACCAGGGCATCGCGCGCCTGGACTCGGGGGGCTTCCAGCCCGAGGGCCTGGAGAACCAGCCCATAGCCGAGCTGCAGCCCAGCCCTGGCTCGCTGGGGGTCTTCAGCCTCATCGTGCCGCTGGAGGCAGGCGAGACGCTGTGCGTCGATCTGGTGGCGGGGCGGTTGGCCCACGCGCCCGACGAACCCCTCACCGTGTTCAGCGCTGCGCTGCTCTACGACACCCTGTAAGGACCCCCGCCACGCAGACCCCCCCACACCCCGTTATTTATCGGCACCCCCCGTCCCCGTGCCCACGCTGCCACCTGCCCTGCGCCTCCCTCCCTCCCCACCCCCCACCCCCATCCCGCCCAATAAAGATGCGACACCGGGTTTTGTACCCCCGTCTCCTGCCTCCTCCTTGCCCCGTCGCTTTATTGCCCCTCCAGAGCGGGTCCCACCACCGTCCTGTTACCATCAGAACTCCTCATCCCATCCCAAAAGGTCATCCTCCACTGATGTCGAATCAACCGAGAACCGCTTGAAGTTGGCACAGGGGGGGCCCTGGGTGTTGGGGTCAGTGCCAAGCTCCCGGCCCCCACAGCGTCCCCCACCCCACACTCCATCCCCACCTCCTTCAGTAGCTGTATAGCGGGTGCCTCCATCTGCTGCAGTGCAAGTCGCTTCCACCGGATGGCGCTGAACCACCTTGGGAAAGGGGGGGGGCTGCAGGAAGGGCCACGGAGAGGGCGGCATGAGATGCCTCCCTTTACATCTGTGTCCCTTCACGTGTGCTTCTTAATGCCACGGATATCACTGGCTGTGTTCCCCAGCTGCTGCCCTGGATGCCTCCTGTGATGGGATGGGTTGGGACTGGGGGGGGGGCAGGGGGGAATGGGGATGGGGATGGAGCCAGACCTGCAGAGTTTGGCAATGAGAGAGCAGGCAGCCTCACTGAGGAAGGCAGGGAAGGAGAAGATGCCATCCAGGATGCATCTGTAGACCTTCTGGGGGTCAGTGCTGGCACAGCTGGCCAGGGGGGTGGGTCAGGCTCAGCCCCGAGGCACACGCTCACCTGCCCACCAGCATCTCGAACACCAGGATGCCCAGCATCCAGAAGTCAACAGCAAAGTCGTGGCCCTCATGGCACAGCATCTCGGGCGCCAGGTACTCAGGTGTCCCACAAAAGGAGAATGTCTTCTCCCCATGCTCCAGCTCCTTGGCAAAGCCAAAGTCCACCTGCGGCACAGCAGCCCCCAGCCCCCCCAAGCCCACATCCTCACACAAGTGTCAGGACGGGCCCTCAGTGCTGCCCCCAAGCCTTGGTACCAGCTTGACATAACCCAGCTGGTCCAACATCAGGTTCTCAGGCTTCAGGTCCTAGTAGATGATGCCGTGGCCGTGCAGGTACACCAGGCCCTCCACCACACAAGCAGTGCAGACTACAGCCAGGGGTTCCTCAAAGCAGCGCCTGCAGCAGAGGGACCAGCGTTCACACAGCGTGGCACGGCACTGCCTGGCACTGCAGCACACGGCTGCCCACCCCGTGTCCCAGCCCCATACACCTCACGCAGTTTGGTCTGCAGCTCTTCTCCCTGGCAGAACTGCAGCAGCAGGTAGATGTGCTGCGCATCACGGAAGGAGCCAAAGAACCTGCGAATGGGAGCAGCTCAGTGCCCCGCACAGCCCCCCCAGCCCCACAGAGCTCCCCCCGGCACCACGCAGCCCCCGGTCCAGCACTCACCCTACAATGAAGGGGCAGTGGCTGCGGGCCAGCACCCTCCTCCCCGTGTGCATGTGCGGATCCGCTTCAGTGCAAAGAGCTGCTTGTGGCACCGCACCTGGCGGAGGGCATCAGGATGGGGACAGGGATGGCACCGTGGGGACCCCGCAGGATGGGCATGGCTCTCACCAGCTCCACCCTGCCAAAGCCACCGGTGCCCAGCATGACGAGCTGCCCCTGCTTCTGCCCTTCCTCATAGTGCATGGCTGCCAGCTCCTCCAGCTGCACTGCTGGGCAGGGCTGCGGCAAGTGGGGGGACCCCCAGCTCCTGTGGGGAATACACTGCCCTGCAGTGCCTGCACCCAGAGTGCCTGTCCCCATCGCCATCACTACCTCATCCCATTCCATTCCCATTTCTGTCCTTGTCTCTATTTCCATCCCCATCTCATTACCATGCCATTCGTATTCCCATCCCCATCCTGTTTCCATTCTCAATTCATCCCATCCCCATTCCTATCCCCATTCCCATTCTTATTCCCATCCCACTCTCCTCCCCATTAACATCCCCATCCCCATCCCCACCCCCATCCCATCCCATCCCATCCCATCCCATCCCATCCCCATCCCCATCCCATCCCATCCCATCCCCATCCCCATCCCATCCCATCCCCATCCCCATCCCATTCCCATTCCCATTCCCTTTCCCATCCCATCCCCATCCCCATTTCCATCCCATCCTTTCCCCATCCCCATCCCTGTCCCCATTACCATTCCATCCCTATCCCACCCCCATCCCATCCCTATTCCTGCCTCCAACCCATCCCACCCCCATCCCATCCATCCCACACTGACCGCATGGGTTCCGTCAGACCTCTGTTACAGACACATTTCTGCAAATGGAAGCAGCCCCAGCTCAAACCCCCCACTCCAACCCCCAGAGCCACACAGCATGGCTCTGGGCACGGGGTGGGTTCTGGGATCTGGAGTTCTGGACCCATCAGACAGGGCAGCACACAGGCTGTGCTGAGCACGCACCGGGGCCGTGCTGTGCTCCCAGGGCAGAGTCCAGGACCCGCTGCTGGTGCCACGTCACTGTGCCCAGCACCCACCCAGGCAACGATGCACATGGGGACCGTGGGGCCAGAGCGTCCCCACAAGGACACTCACACATCTGAGTCGTGGTGGGGGCAGAAGGGGATGATTTGCAGGAAGTCTCTGCAGGGTAGAGCAAGGATCAGTGCCATGCAGGGACACGGAGACGTGGGGACATGGGGACACGGGGACACGGCAATCTGAGGACATGGGGACATGGGGATATGGGGACATGGGGACATAAGGACACGGGGATGTGAGCGGATGTGCAAGAGCTCTGTGCACGTGAGAGCCGGTGCATGCGTGTGCACGAGAGCTGCATGCATTCATGATGTGCTGTCCTGTGGCTCTGCAGGGCACCTACTGCAGCAGTGAGAGCTCCCCTGCTCTCACTGCTCACCTGCACCCAGCACCTGCAGCAGCTTCTTCTGCCCATCCTCACGCCGGCTGACCTGCACCCGTGGGGATGTGGGGCTGAGCGGGGTGAGAGAGACCCAGCGCTGTCCCATGGCACTGCCTCACAGCACAGCACCTCCTCACCCTTCAGGATAATGTAGAAGCTCTGCCCCTCGTCGCCCTCACAGATGATGAGGTGGCCGGGTGTGAAGGAGCACTATGGGCACACAGAAGCTCATGGCTGTGCTGTGTGGGGGGCCCTGTCCCATAGCCCCCACCTGCATTTATACCTCCTCCATGGCATCAAGCGACTTGGAGAGGTGGCAGTCCGACAGTTCCTGCAGCCAGTGCACCCTGTGGGAGGGCACAGCTCCGGTGCATGCTGCAGCACACCTGAACCCCCCCTGTATCCCTCTTGCATTCCCCCTACAGCCCCCCTACACCGACCCCTGCATCCCTCCTGTATCCTTTCTGCACCCCCATTGCATCCCTCCTGCATCTGCCCTGCATCCACCCTGCATCCCTCCTGCATCTCCCCTTCATCCCTCCTGCATCCACTCTGTATCCCCCTGCATCCCTCCTGCATCTCTCCTGCATCTTTCCTGCATCCTCTCTGCATCCCCCTGCATCCCTCCTGCATCCCCCCTGCATCCCTCCTGCATCTCTCCTGCATCCTTCCTGCATCCTCTCTGCATCCCCCTGCATCCCTCCTGCATCCCCCCTGCATCCCTCCTGCATCTCTCCTGCATCCTTCCTGCATCCTCTCTGCATCCCCCTGCATCCCTCCTGCATTCTCCCTGTATCCCTCCTGCATCTCCTCTGCATCCGCATTGCATCCCTCCTGCACCCCTTCTGCATTCCTCCTGCATCCTCCTGCATCCCCCCTTCATCCCTTCCACATCCTCCTGCACCCCCCTGCATCCCTCCTGCAACCCCCTGTATCCCTCCTGCATTTCCCCTGCATCCTCCAGCATCCCTCCTGCATCCTCCTGCATCCCCCCTGCATTCCCATTGCATCCCTCCCGCATCCCCCTGCATCCATCTCTCCTACATCCCCCCTGGACCCCTCCCGCACCCCTCCCGCACTCGATGTCCCTCCCCACCGGCAGACGCCGTACTCACGCTCTCAGGACCCGCTGCACATCGGCCCGCCGCTGCCGGGCGTTGCCGGTTGTGATGGCACGGAACCGCTGCCTGTCAATGGCCCAGAGGCGCACGGGGCCGAGCGCTGGGGCAAAACGCAGTAAGCAGGGTGCCGGGGGAAGAGAGGCCGGACGCTGTGGGCACGCGGGCAGGAGCTCACTTATCCCGCACGGTGACGGTGCGCGAGCAGTGCGCGAGCAGTGATACAGGATGGCCAACTCGACAAAAATGTCCCCGGGCCTCAACGTGCGGAGCTGCCGGCCCCGCTGGGTCACGCTCAGGCGTCCCTCTGCGGGGTGCGGGCGGCCTCGTGCACCGCGGCAGCCACGCACACGCACACGCGCGCCCGGGGCTGCGGGGCTGCGGGGCGAGCGGGCGGCGGCCTCTCACGTTGGGCGCGCACACGGCGACGCGACCCGGCTCTCGCAGCCCTCCCTCACCTGCCACGATGTTCATGGCCGTCCCTTCGCCGCCCTCGGCCACCACCGCATCGCAGTCCTCCCGTCGCACAGTCACGAAGCTCAGCGCCAGAGCCTCGGGGCGGCCCCCTCCCAAAAGTCGCAGGAAGTCGCTGCGCCGCACGGCCTCCGCCATAAGGGCCGGGTCCCTGCGGGCACGGGGACGTCGGTGGAGCGGTCCCCAACCTCGGCTTCCCCTCCGTCCCCCCGCTTTCCGCCGGGTACCTCTGCGAGTGGGTTCCGGGGGTCGCCCGAGAGGGGCTCAGGCACGATGGCGGGGCCGTGGAGGTTCGGGGAGCCGGCGGGCGGCTCGGCGTCCCGGAGGTCCCCGCTGTCGGCCGGTCCCCGCATCGCGCGTTGCAGGAAGGCGTGCCGCTCCTGCAGCCTCCGATCCCGCAGCCACCGCTTCATCGCGTATCCCTGCGAAAGTGGGACGGTGTGTCAACCGGAGACAACCCCCGAGTTAGCGGCTGCGGAAGGGCCCCGAGGCACGGGGAACGTTAGCTCTGGGCACGGGGCCACCTGGCACCAGCGGTGTCTGAACAGCTCCGCGGCAGGGGGAGGGCTCTGAGGGCGCTCTGTGCCCGAGCAAAGGTCGCCGGATGGGACGAGATGAGATGGGAGGGGACGCGGTGCTCACCCCACCTTCTCGGCCACCGGCATCACAACTCCAACCTTCCTGGACCCGGCTGCGGACACAGCCCCGCGGCGCCCGCCCGCCCGCAGGGCCCCTACCCACCTCAGACCCCGCGTTGAGCGCCGATTCCTCCCACCCGCGGGACGCCGCAGCGCCCCGCACCCCGCGCGGTGACACATTAACCCGCCCCGCCTCTCCTCGGGCACGTGCTGACCCGTGCCCGCAGACACCGCGCACCGAGCCCGCCCGGAGCCCTGCGCATCCCTCCCGCACCTACCGCGCACCCATCCTGCGGCGACCCGCACCCGTCCTGCACGCACCGCGCACCCATCCCGCGAGCACCGCGCTGCCGGCGGGGCCGTGCGGGTGGAAGCCGCGGGCGAGCGGCGGCGGTGCGAGGTGTCGGGGCTGCGTGAGGCCACCGGGGCGGAGCCTACGGGGTGCCACCCCCCATCCCCCCATCCACCGGGGCAGAGCGGAGCGGAGCGGAGCGCTGCGCGGATCGCGGCATGGCGGCGGGGGCGGGAGGCGAGAAGCGGATCCTGTGCGTGGGGCTGGTGTGCCTCGACGTGATCAGCGTGGTGGACGCGTACCCGGCCGAGGACACCGACACGAGGTACCGCCCCGCGCGGCGCCTCGCAGAGCGTCCCGCTCGGCGTCCCGCACGCTGACCCCGAGCCCCGCAGGTGCCTGAGTCAGCGGTGGCAGCGCGGGGGGAACGCCTCCAACTCGTGCACGGTGCTGGCGCTGCTGGGCGCTCCCTGCGCCTTCATGGGCTCCCTGGCACCCGGGCACGCGGCAGAGTGAGTGGGGACGGTGGGGCGGGTGGGGGACCGGAGGGAAGCGGTGCCGGGCGCCGGCAGCCCCGCTGCTCCCGTCGTCCCCCGACCCCGTATGTGCCCCCAGCTTCATCGTGGCGGATTTTCGGCGCCGCGGCGTGGATGTGACGCACGTCGCGTGGCAGCCCCACGGGGATGTGCCCTGCGCCTGCTGCGTGGTCAGCGCCGCCAGCGGCTCGCGGACCATCGTGCTGCACGACACGTGGGTGTCCCCCCCCCGGGATCCCAGTCCCCGTCGTGATCGACGGAGCTCCCGCAGGGCTGCGGGACGGCCGGAGGGCGGCCTCCGTTAATCATTCCCCGGCCGCCCGGGGCACCTCCCCGGTGCCCGGGGCAGAGGCGAGGCTTCGGGCTGCCCTTCGCCCGCAGGAACCTGCCCGACGTCACCGAGCGCGACTTCGCGCGGGTCGACCTGGCTCAGTACAAGTGGATCCACTGGGAGGTGCGGGGCGGCGCGGGGAGGGCTCGGAAAGGGGCGTGGCTCGCCGTGACCGCGCCCGCTATTCCTTCAGGCCCGCAACGCGGCGGAGCAGGAGCGGATGATTCTCCGCGTGGAGCGACACAACAGCGCGCTGCCGCCAGCGCAGCGCATCCGCACGTCTGTGGAGGTGGAGAAGCCGCGGGACGAACTCCTGCCGCTCCTGGCGCACGGCGACGTGGTACGGCCCGGACACGCCCACTTCGCCACGCCCCGTCGGCGATTGGTCCGATTGGGGAGGGGGCGGGGCCAGGTGGGAGGGGGCGGGGCCACGCGCGGGTGTGGCTCGAAAAGGGGCCTGGGAAAGTCGAGCGGGTCCCGGGGGGCGCAGAGGAACGCCGGCCCGTCGCCCCCCGCAGGTGTTCATCAGCAAGGACCTGGCCAAGCACTTCGGCTACAACACGGCTGCCGAGGCGCTGCGGGGGCTGCGGGGCCGCGTGCGGCCAGGGTAAGGCGCGGGGACGGGACGGCGACGGCGCGGGGTTGGGTGGGAAGGGCGAGCAGCGGTTGCGGGTGGGGTTCCGCCTGCCCCCGCCCCAGCTGTAGCACCGCAGCGCGACCATGATCTGCGCGTGGGCCGAGGAGGGCGCCGACGCGCTGGAGCCGGATGGGACCCTGGTGCACGTCGACGCGTTCCCACCGGAGCGGCTGGTGGACACGTTGGGTGCCGGAGACACCTTCAACGCCGCCGTCATCTTCGCGCTGTCAGGAGGTGCGCGCGGCCTCAGCAGTTCTGCACGGCTCGGCCTCGCACCTCCCCGCGGCGCCTCACGGCCCCCCCGTGTCCGTCACTCCCCCCTCAGGGCAGAGCCTGCGGGACGCTCTCACCTTCGGCTGCCGCATCGCGGGGAAGAAGTGCGGGATCCACGGCTACGACGGCATCGTCTGAGCCGCGCGGTGCCCCCCGCCCCGCGCCCAATAAAGCTCGCGGACCCCCGCCACCGCCTCCTGCCGCAGCCCCCGCGTGCCCCCCCTGCTCTGTTCACACTGTGGGCGGCAGCGGCTGTATTCCTCGGCCCCGCGTTACAGCGCGAACCCGCGTGTCCTGACTCCCCCCTCCTCTCGCCACCGAGCCCACTGCGACGGGGGAAGCGCGTGGGGAGACCCTCAGCTCCGACAGCTCCGACATCCACCACAGCCGTGAGGCGGGGAACCGCCCGCAGCCCCTTCTCGCGCCTACATCTCCCTGGGATCCCCCAAGGCGGGGGATGCCGGCGCCTCGGAGGGCTCGACTCGGGGCTCTCTGTCCTCGATGGCCGTCTCCAATTCCGCCGTCTCGTCCTCTTCCAAGGGGGCTCCGATCTCGGGGATTCCCTGCTCCTCTGCCTGGACGTCGCCATCCCCCTGCAGAACCTGTCCCTCTTGGGGGCTGCTCGCCCCCACGTTCTCCCCCAGCGTCTCCTCCCCCACCGCGGGGATCCCCTCCTGCTCCCCAGCGTGCCCCTCTGCCCTCCCCTCGAGTGCAGCGTCGCCTCCTCGCGGGGGTCCACGTGCTGGGGCGGGCAGCAGCAACTCGGGGGGGTCCAGCAGTCCGTCCCCGCTGCGGTCCCGCTGCTCCAGAGCTCGGTCCACCAGTGCGGCCACCTGCGCGGACGGGAATGGATGGGTACGCAGTGAGAGCAGAGGTCAGAGCAGGGACCCCGCGGGGCGCGAACCCCGGCACGCACCGCCTCGGAGCTGGGCCGCCCCGCGCCCCCCTGGGTCAGCACCGCCCCCAGCAGCTGCAGCAGCTCCAGTCCGTCCAGCTGCCCGCTCCGGTCGTGGTCGTGCATCGCGAAGAGGAAGAGCAGAGCTGCGGGCACAAGGCGAGGGGCTGATACTCGGCCCACCAAGAAACGGTCGCCCGCCTTTCCCCACTCCTGCCGCAAGGCCTTACCCTGCTCCCTTGTCATCTCGTCCGCATCCCGCTGCGGCGGTCCCAAACTCCGCACAGCACTACGCAGCAACCTGGGAACAGCAGGGCCTGGGAGGGGAGCACGCACTTTCCCGTCCCACGGCCAGACCCGGTTCTCCAGCCCCGCAGCCACCCAACCCCGTATCCCCACTGCCCTGCAACCAATCACGGGGTCCCCGAGTGCCCCGGCCATCCTCCCACCCCCTCCTCCGAACCCTCCAGCCCCATGGTCGGGCACTCACTGCAGAGCGGGGAGATCTGCGCTCAGTGGGTCGGGGCCGGGATCCGTCCCCACGGCCGCGAGGGGCTCAGGTCTGAACGGGGAATATGGGAGGGGAGGTTACCGCGGCGCCTCTTACCATCACCCGGCTCGCAGCCCCTGTGCTGCCCCCGCACCGCGGCTCCGACCCTCAGCACCTGGTGTGCAACCCCGCAATTGTGTAACCCCCGCGTGAAACCGTGCCGTTGTGCAATTCCGCACCTGTGTGACCCCCGCACCTTGTCATCCCGCACCACAACACCCTTCACCGGCACAGCCCCACCACTCTCCTCTCCCACACCCCGTACCGCAGCACCCCGTCCCTGGGAGCCGCCCGGGCGGCGGGGCCGAGCAGCAGCAGCAGCAGCAGCGGCGGCGGCGGCGACGGGGCCGCCCGCGGGGCTCTCATCCCGCTGCCGGAGCGGACCCACGCGTGGAGCCGCCACGCACGCACACTCGAGGAGGTATTCCGGGCCACGGCGACACTGCCACCCGCACACGGACTACCCGGGGCACGCAAACACGGCGGTGTCCCCATCCCGCCCCGCCCCGGGCCACGTCGCCGGCCCCGCCTCGCCGCGCCCGGAGACTTCACTTCTGCCGGCAGCGCAGGGGTTAACCGGCGTCCGCCGCTCTGCCCGGCACAAAGATGGCCGCCGGAGCCACGCCCGCCCGGCTGTGGGCGGGGCCACGCAGGGGGCGGGGCCGGGCGATCCCGGCAGCGATGGGCGCGGAGGGGCCGCGGAGCGCCGTGCTGCTCCCGCTGCCGCCGCCACTGTTGCTGCTGGCGGCGGCTGCCGCGCTGCTCGGCTGCCTCTGGGCGCGATCCCCGCGCCGTTCCCCGCAGCCGCCTCTGCTTGCCGGCGGTCCGGGGCTTCGTTCCTTCCTGCGGCGGCACTGCCCGGCCGTGTGGGAGCCGTTCCGTCCCACCGCGTGGTGCTGCGGGGGGCGGCTGCAGACTGTGAGCAGAGCGCTGCTGCAAAGCCGACCTCACGTCGGGTACCGCAGGTGAGGCAGGACGGGGTCGGGGGAATGAGACGGGTTGGGTTGGGGTGGGTGGGGGTAGGGGGGACAGGGCTGAGGGTGGGACCGAGGATGGGACGGGTGGGAACGGGGGCGGAAGATGGGACAGAACAGGTGGGGACAGGGATCGAAGATGGAAAAGAGCGGGTAGCGATGGGCCTGGGGTGGGACTTGTGAGGACGGGACGGGTGGTACCACGGCCGGCGCTCCCCTGTCCGCATCTCCGCCCCGCAGTGAGGCCATCCGCACGCCCGACGGCGGGCAGCTCATTCTGGATTGGGCCGATGACGGCAGCGCCGCCGAATGCCCCACGGTGCTGCTGCTGCCGGGGCTGACAGGGAACAGTCAGGCCGCCTACATACTGCACCTGGTGCGAGAGGCATGCGGTGCCGGGTACAGGTGAGTGCTGGGGGCGGGGGCAGGGTCAATCCACCGCCCCTGCTGATGCCGCTCTCCTCCCTGTAGGGCCGTCGTGCTCAACAACCGTGGCTGCCGCGGTGAAGAGCTGCTGGTGAGATCCCATCCCTGCCCCTACCCAGGTCCCTGCCCTATAGCTGGGCACGTCGGGGCCCCAAACAGCTCTGCCTCTCCCAGACCCCCAGGACCTTCTGTGCCAGCAACACCGAGGACCTGCAGACGGCCATCATGCACATCCACCACCAGTACCCTCATGCCCCGCTGCTGGCCGTCGGTGTATCACTGGGAGGGTATGGCACTAAGAAGGGGGGATGGTCGGGGGGTGGCATAGGAGACCCCCCCATCCCTGCCCCCTCCCCTGCAGGATGCAGGTGCTGAACTACCTGGCACAGGCGGGACACGCAGCAGGGCTGGTGGCCGCCATGGCCATTTCTGCATGCTGGGACTCCATGGAGACAACAGTGTCGCTGGAGCAGCCACTCAACACGTGGCTCTTCAACCGCCGCCTGGCTGCCGGGTTGCGGCACCTCATCCGCAGGTGGGGGCACACCTGGATGGTGGGGGGGGGTCACACCACCGTGACCCCAGTCTGCAGGCCAGG